TGATAACGAATGTAGTGTTATTATGTTGTGGATTAGGCTAGATGTATTCATTCATAATTCATTGTTTACTTTTGCTCCTTTTTCTGTTGCTCCAATTTCTTCTTTTTGTTTTGAATCTTTTTTGTGTTTTTGTTTCTGCTCCAATCTCTTCCTTTTGTTTTGAGCCTTTTTTGTTTTCTCTTACCATTGGTTCTCTTGGTTTTCATCTCTAGCCTACCTCAATTTACTTGGGACTAAAAGGCTATGTTATTATATTGTTTTCTGAAAATATGACTGCAAAAATTTGTTTTAATGGTAATCTATATTTATATTATTTGTTTTCAAAAATAAATTTTGAAATACCCACCCTTTTACAAGGCTTCCAAGAGCACGAACTTTCGAGAAGCAGCAAAAAGTGTAAAGTAAATACGTAATTACCCAATCCTAAATCCTAATCCAATCATTAAAAAATAAAATCGGCCACCGAAGCGATCTAAATTGGTCAGCACGTTTCTTCTCGATCTCTGATTGGTCCACGTCACGGAGAGTGACACGATCATCCCTTCATTTTGCTCCACGTCAGCATCCGTGACATGAAACCTAGAAGGTAGAATTCTAAATTTGAACGTATAGGTTGATTGCAAATCATGATCATACTCGGAATCCTATTGGTCCACGGCATAGAAATGACGGATGTTTCATCCCTTCAACACAAATTGTCCGATACATATATATACACACCATATACATCTTCAGGTTGACAACTGCAACACAAAGAGGAAATTATAATTCACAACAAAGCACAGGTAAAGGAGATAAAGCGATTACTGTTATTGATTTTCGAGCTTCGCAACAATGGCTGGTGCGTGGTATAGACGCCCATCCTCAATCGTCTTTGGAATCCTGCTTATCGGTGAGCTTCTCTCTCTCTCTCTTTTTTTCTTTTCCAGATGAAACATTAGAATTTGTGTTCATGTGAGAATGTGTAAGTACTTGTTGATGTTTGCTTTTCATGAACTGATCGTGTCTCGTTTTTGTAAATTGAGGACGAATGATCTGCGTCTGGAATGTTGTAGCTGAAATTTGAGCGAGTTTGGTGTGTGTGTGTTTGTTGTATACGAAAATTGGTATACTATTTAATCGATATATCGATGAATGTAGATCTAGTTGCTGTTACGGTAGTCTTCAAATCTGCTTAAACGAGAAATCAGGATGGTAATATACTAATATGTATGGTTTTTGATTTTATCTATGGTGTTGAGCTGCTAAATACGAGAACTCATTTGTACAGTGCCCTTTTTACACATGCACGCATGATTTTGATTTGAAGCTGTTATGATGAAATGAATTTTGCTTTTATTTGTTCCCTTATAACCTTGAACTGGATAATATATATAATGTTACTGAATGAACAGACAACGGAAATCCCTGTTTCTTATTGTATTGCCTGTTATAGATTCACGTAAACAAGTTGTAGATTCCATCACTTAATGCATATTGTATCCTTAAATGCTAAATAGTGATTTGTCTTTTACTTGTTCAACATGGAAAGTGCGGCATAGTTGGTTTGCAGCCTGAGATATACAGTTGCTGTAATAAATTGCTTATGGTGATGATTGTATCTTTGTAACAGGGAGCTTGTTTGCATATACCATTGCTGAAGAGGAGGCTGTCAAGTATGGAACCGTTATCGGCATAGATCTTGGCACAACTTATTCATGTGTTGGGGTGTACAAGAATGGACATGTCGAAATCATAGCAAATGATCAAGGTAACCGTATCACCCCCTCATGGGTCGGCTTCACTGACAGTGAGAGGTTGATTGGTGAGGCTGCAAAGAATCAGGCAGCCGTTAATCCCGAGAGGACCGTGTTTGATGTCAAGAGACTTATCGGAAGAAAGTAATGCCTTGTATCCCTTCACCTTGTATCCCTTCACCTGCTTCAGTTACATGTGAGAAATATCTCAAATCATGATTATAACTTTTCTACTGAACAGGTTCGAAGATAAAGAGGTCCAGAGGGACATGAAGCTCGTTCCATACAAGATTGTTAACAAAGATGGAAAGCCTTACATACAAGTAAAAATCAAGGATGGTGAGACCAAGGTTTTCAGTCCTGAAGAGATCAGTGCCATGATTTTGACTAAGATGAAGGAAACAGCTGAGGCTTATCTTGGAAAGAAAATTAAGGATGCCGTTGTCACTGTCCCTGGTAAGGTTTTTCACAAAATTATTGAATGTTAATAATAAAGGAATGTTATGCCATTATTAATGCTGTTTCTGTATCTCGTCTTGTGCAGCGTACTTCAATGATGCTCAGAGACAGGCCACTAAAGATGCCGGGGTCATTGCTGGGCTGAATGTTGTGAGAATTATAAATGAGCCAACTGCAGCAGCGATGGCCTATGGTTTGGACAAGAAGGGTGGTGAAAAGAATGTTCTTGTCTTTGACCTTGGTGGTGGGACATTTGATGTCAGTATCTTGACCATTGACAATGGTGTCTTTGAGGTTCTCTCCACGAATGGAGACACTCATTTGGGAGGTAAAGATTATACTGGCTTTTCCATCTATGCAATTTTTTTCTAGTTCTTTTATCATTGTCAACTTTGAACCCACTTAAACTAATACTGATTTCATATGATGGGAGGATTAACAATTCACTGAAGTAGATCATTTTGAGTTTCTCAAAAGACATGTTTTCTTCTTACAGGTGAGGATTTTGATCAGAGGATCATGGAATACTTCATCAAGCTCATCAAGAAGAAGCATGGAAAGGACATCAGCAAGGATAACAGGGCACTCGGCAAGTTGAGAAGAGAAGCCGAACGTGCCAAGAGAGCTTTGAGCAGTCAGCACCAAGTCCGTGTGGAGATTGAGTCCCTCTTTGATGGCACAGATTTCTCTGAGCCCCTTACCAGGGCCCGTTTCGAGGAATTGAACAACGACTTGTTCAGAAAGACCATGGGCCCCGTCAAGAAGGCCATGGAGGATGCCAACATGGAAAAACGCCAGATTGACGAAATCGTCCTTGTTGGTGGGAGCACCAGGATTCCAAAGATTCAGCAGCTTCTCAAGGATTATTTTGATGGGAAGGAGCCAAGCAAAGGCGTTAACCCTGACGAGGCTGTTGCTTTTGGTGCTGCTGTCCAAGGAGGAATCTTGAGCGGAGAGGATGGTGATGAGATCAAAGGTAAAAATGCTCTTTTATCGTCTAATTTGGTTATGGGAATGTTTGCAAGCTATTAGAAAAGTAGTTTAAGGTTTTAGCTGATATCATCTTCATCTTCATCTGCTAAAAAATTCTGAATCTGCTTCATTTCATTGACATAGAAAAAAGCTAGGGAGGAGTGTGTGGTTTATTTAAGGGACTGTGTGATTCTGCTTTTTGTTTCGATTTTAAACTCGTGTTGAGAATTTTTCTCAACTTCTCCCCAAAACACTCCTCCTTAGTATCACTTGACTGTGAAATCTGATTCTGAAAATATTATGTAAGCTACCTAACTATGTTGTATTGCAAAATCAGACGTTCTTCTATTGGATATTGCCCCTTTGACCCTTGGCATTGAAACTGTTGGGGGAGTGATGACCAAATTGATCCCCAGAAACACTGTTATCCCCACCAAGAAGTCCCAAGTTTTCACTACCTATCAGGATCAGCAAACTACTGTTTCTATTCAGGTATCATACTTGATTTCCAACTCAATATGATAGAAAAATACCACCACTTTTCTGCCTTAATGATAACACTAACGACTAAACTGCTTTTGTTTTTTGTGTATATGAACAGGTTTTCGAGGGTGAGAGGAGTCTTACAAAGGACTGTAGGCTGCTCGGTAAATTCGATCTCACAGGAATTCCCCCTGCCCCAAGGTCTGTGTAATCCTTATTCACAACCCATTAACTTGTTGAGATTGTATTTGTTGTCTCGAATTCATAAAAAAATGATTCTAATTCAAATTATGTGAATGTTATACCGAGCAGGGGGACCCCACAAATCGAGGTGACCTTCGAGGTAGATGCCAATGGCATTCTCAACGTCAAGGCCGAAGACAAAGCCTCGGGCAAGTCTGAGAAAATCACCATCAACAACGATAAGGGCCGCCTCAGCCAGGAAGAGATTGACCGCATGGTCCGTGAGGCTGAGGAATTTGCCGAGGAGGACAAAAAGGTCAAAGAGAGAATCGATGCTCGGAACAGCCTCGAGACTTACATTTACAACATGAAGAACCAAGTCAATGACAAGGACAAGCTGGCAGACAAATTGGAGTCGGACGAGAAGGAGAAGATTGAGGCTGCTACAAAGGAGGCGCTCGAGTGGCTGGACGACAACCAAAATGCCGAGAAGGAGGATTATGAGGAGAAGCTAAAGGAGGTTGAGGCCGTGTGCAACCCCATCATAACCGCGGTTTATCAAAGGAGTGGTGGTGCGCCAGGTGGCGATGCAGGGACGGATGATGGAGATGATGATGACCATGATGAGTTGTAGAAGACTAGGTTGGCTTTTGCGGTAGTTCTTTGAAATAGGGTTGGGGTTGATTTCTTTCTTTTTCATTTTATTTTATTTTTATTCTTTCTTTTGGGCGAAGAAGGTTTTGATGGCTCATTACATACAAGAGCAGTAAGATTAATCCTATTACTTGTGTTTATTGCAAAGGAAAAGTTCATTGCCCAAATGCAATTTCAATCTCCTATCTACATATACTATAATGTGTATAGAATTGAATTTCTCAACTGTTTCTTAGTAAGGTCATTGGTTGATTTAGAATGTGATTCATTTAGCAATATTATAAGGTCATAACGTATCGTTTAAAAACACTCCCTTAAAATATTGAAATGTTCTTTTATAGAGGTATGTGATTTTTCCCAACTAACCTTTAAAATTGCAAGAGGCTCATTAGGGGACATTTGGCTAAGTAAAATAGTTCCAGGGACGATTGCCTAGGAAGAACTCGACAAGAGCTTCAATTCTTGTTGATAAATCACCATTAGTATCCATCCTTGAGAACTGGAATTTGTATCAGAAAAATAATTTTAACAGAAGCTTTCTGTTTCGAATGTTACCATAATTACGGAAATATATAGCAAATACACTAAAAGATTGAAGCTAGCTGTACTGAACTCAACAATATAATATGCAATTGATTGAGCAGATTGCCAAAAAAATATAATAAATTTCTTTTCAGCTTGGCCCCTTCAAATAATCTCTGAAGTTTGGGGGTCCAGGAAACGACTAATATTTATCGATTTGACCAAATATGACTAAACCCCTGGATTGCAAAGTAACAAAAAAACCTCAAAGTATACAGTGACCGATGTTCTCCAGGTGATAAGTATGCACCATGTGTACAAAGAGTGGGATCATCAAAAGTATGGAAAACACGAAACTAACAGTTCAGTTAGTCGTTTTAGCCAGAAGCTCCAGCCCCGGCCAGCTCGACTCACAAAGATCACGAGGGGTGTCTCCCTCATTGTCCTTGATATCTATATCAGCACCGTGTTTCAAAAGTAATTCTGCTATTGAAGATCTCTCGCATACAGCAGCATAATGCAATGCGGTTTGACCTTCATCATCCTGTAAATATGCACGAAATGAATACGTCTTACAAAAACAGCAAGTTTTTGTTTTAGCAAATTTCACATGTTTTTTTTTTTTTTTTTTTTTTTTTTTCCTTTCACTTGTTCTCATATTAAATGGAATTTGAGACTACAAATAATTTATTTTTTTTACCTTAGCATTGACATCAGCATTTTTGTCCAGAAGCAATGCTGTGACATTCAAATGGCCTCGATCTACAGCCCAGTGCAAAGGGGTGCGGCCCTCACTGTCTGCAACAGTTACAGAACATTATAACTAGGTAATCAATTTTAACAATCTGTACTAATGAATGCTTAATGAAATAATAAAAATCGAAAAGGTCCCATGGGATGTTCAAAAAGAAATGGATTTTACATAGTACTTCAAGTTAGAGTTGGGTTTTTTCCTTCTCAAGGAGTAAACTTAATAGATAGACAGTCAGCATCAGAAGCATGTATCAGCCAATTAGGATTACGTCTTCATTTCAATGAATGCAGCAAAGCAGAAATTAAAGGTGATAAAGACGTTTAAGATTAACCAACCCTTTATATTTAACGGGACACCACTCTCTATGCACTTGAGCAGCTTTTCTTCATCTCCTTCTCGTGCAAAGGCATGTATAGCATCCATTTTCCTGAAAAGAAAATGGTAGACATACAACTCAAATTCTACACACCAAGTAACTTTGATGAAGAAAACATCTAGTAGTTAAGTTTCTTTAGCCCAACTACATGTAAAGAACACAGTAAAATACACACATACACACTCTAAGCAAAATAGGCAATGCATGATGTCATTTTCTGGAACCATCTTATAGGTGGGTGGAGGGCTAACATTTTTAGGAAGTTGACGAGAGAAGAAGAGGATAAGGAGCGAGACCTGTAATNAAAACGGTATTTGTGCGAATCAGCACCAAGAATAATTAGTTTTTCGCTCAATAACTTTGATCTTTACTCTCAACTGTAGCGGGTAGGTGTGGAAGCAGAGAAGGTGCCCTACTTACAAAGTTAAGAGTACAATAGCTGGGAAAGTTAAGCAATCGAAGACATTAGTTGGAAAAATTTTAAGGGAAAATACAGAGGAATTTCAATTATTGTAGTCAACAGAAACAGCACAGAGGATAATATAAAAAGAAACCACTTCAGAGTATGCTACAAAATGTTAAATGACAAGCATAAAGTTCAAGGTCAGGATCCTTACAAATCAGATCCAGATTCCTCCTCATATATAAAGCTACTGAAGACAGGTCCCATCGGCCCTTGGGAACCTGCATTCTGTGCATCAGTTATCCCTTCATCTTTTTTCTTCTGCTACATGATACAGAAATGTCAGCAACAATGGAGATGAGTGCAAACAAATCTACAATNCAAAAAAAAAAAAAAACGAAGAAAATGGAAAAAGAAGAAAATGATTTTGATCTCACAGAGGCAGCACCATCAGCCCAAGTGGGATATAACTCGGTAATAATGTCAATATAATTCTCCATTGCTTCTTCAGGAGGCATAGTACCCAGTTTCTGCCATGCTTGCCTAGAACACAAGAACACAAGTTTTCATTTGTTGAACCAAAAATCTCGTCTCAGAAGGCAAATGAAACAAGCCAAAAAAAAAAAAAAAATTAATCATGTGTGAGATAGCATACAGCACAGGGGTTCAAGATTTATCAATATAAGAGACATCTTCTAGCACGTTGATACCGTAGGCGTAACCCAACAGAACAGAAGAGGCATACGGTCACAAAAGCAATAGAGCATGTTGAAATTGCAGACTCAAAATTCAAGTTCTTAAACAAATGAACACAGTTTTTACCCATTCATAATGAGTGTTCAAAATTGTGAAGTTCATATGCCCTAATACCAGAAAGTGGCTCCTCTCCAGATCACCTGCTACGAACATCACTGTAATCTGAAACTTTTGAGGTGAATATTGTTTCATGAGCTTCACTAAAATGGTTTAGCATACTGATATGAGTTGAACGACGACAAAACTAGATGCAATGAAATAGCTAATGCCATAATATAAGCCATGGACAATCGAACTTTTCACGCACCAAATTGAGATATAATGTCTATCACAACAGAATTGCCCAATCAAGTATATTCTATCACAAGCCAACGATCAAGGGAGAAAAGCTTAACCGTCCTCAATAAACTGTATTCAAAGTTACAAGTACCATTTAGCACGAGCAGTCATTTTCAGAGCTGAAGGCTGGGGAGCAGAACACGGTCCCTCAGTGGCAATCTTGTACAGACCATAAAGCTGCAGCTGGATATCGTTCGACACCTTCGCTGCCGCCCGATCAGCAGCTGTGGCAGCAACAAATGCAGTGGCGGCACTGAACAGCTCATCCAGCTCAGTGCTCTCCACGCCCTCCCAATCATCATCACTGTCGCTACAGTCACCGTCAATTACCTCTCTTTCACCTCCCGGTTTCCCGTCTCCACCAATCAACGGCTCCTTTTCTTCCAAAACGCCAAACAAAGGATCCGCAGAGACCTGCTCGGCTTCCGGCTCCGGCGAATGCGCCCGCGTGATCCTGAGATTCTCATCACGGAAAGCGAAGATCACGGAGAAGAGCTTCGCGAGCAGGTACGAGAAAACAACGCCGAAGAATACCGATTGGAGAAACTGCTGCCAGTCAGCCATTGATACAAACGAAATGTGCAGAGCTGAAAAAGGAGGAAGCCGGACGAAAACCCTAGCAGTTGCGCGGCGAGCGATGAATTCGATTGATGGAGGAACGGGAATTATAGAAGCACGTCGGGATAAAGATAAACCCTAGAAAACGACGGTGCCAAAGTATAATAGTCTCCGACTAAGTGAAAATGACTAAATTCTGAATTTGCCGGCGGCGACTGACGGCGGGTGAGGAACACAAAGCTTACAATCGGAGTAAAACAGCTTTCCGCCGCTTGATTAAATTCAACTGCATTGCATGCAGTAACACTTCCTGCAGTTCCTATTTTTAGTTCTAAAGAATTTCGAGTGGGCTTTTGGGCTTTCATATTAGAAGCCACCCACTTTTGGGATTCTGTTGGCCCATACTGCCATCTTGAGCGTAGTAGGCCCGAAGATAAATTAAATGCCTATTAACTACACTTTCTTAAAAAATAAAGAAGAAAGAAAAAAATAAAAAATGTTATCCAAATGGTCTAACATTAAGGCCCAAATGGTCTAAAAGATTTAACAAAGTATGCATAACCATCATTCAATAGTCGAAATTTGGTTAGTAGCAAAAAATAGACACGGGAGAATATTAATAATCATTTTTTTTTTCTCCCAATGATAGTAGTTATATTACTGTCAAAAGGAAAAATTACACGAGAGTCAAAGGACCCGGGAGAATATCACAAAACTTATCTTGAGACAATCACTAACCATCTAATGGTTACAACAAAAAAATACACGTAAAAAGCTTAATGTGTTGATATTCTCTACTATATATATGGAGTGTGTAAAATACTGAGAACCTATAAATAAGGCATCAAACATTTACAACCAAGCCAGATCACCTCAAAACCCAACAAAATAAAAGTATTTGATACTCAACCCTAAACAACCACCAAATCAACCAAAAGAAAAGCAAACGACAACAAACTTGTACAAAGCAAAACCCAAAAAAGCTTAAATACGTACGTTCTTGGAAGTTGGATGGCTTTCACCACTTCGGACTCTTGCCAATTCCCAAAAGCCGCTTTTATTGTCTGAAATATTTTCAAACATAATTTGGTTTTTTTTGTTTTTAAAATGTTGGAATTTTCATAATATCCATCTCGAAAAATCATCTTATATGTTATTCAACAAAACATCCGATCGAAAATCGAATATATTGATCATCGGAAAATTTAAAACGCATTTTTCTCCTTCGCGCACCTTATTCGTTAATCGATTATCACGAATCTATTATCATAAAATCAATAAAACCATACCTTATTTTATTTGTGTAATCATAGTAAATACCTTAAATCAATTTTAAAGTTTGACTCAGAATTCATTATTGTTGAATTGTTTAATAAAAAAAAAAAAAATTATTGTTGAATTGTATTTTGCATTTTTACCAGGGTTTTTAATTGTCCAAGGCAAATTGTCAATTTTGTATATTTTACAAAATTATACGTGGCAAACTTTTTAAAAAATTGTGTACTCTCTAAATTATACGTAAACATGTATAATTGCCATTTAAATAATAATCGTCGTCTGATCGTCTGACGACAGACGAGACACAGAAAACCTAGATCAAGTTCAGCAATCCATATTTTCCCCAATTCTTTTCACCAAAACCCATCAATCGATATTCAGTCTTTCATCGATCGACCTCCCGATCACAGCAATGGAGAATCCCAACGGCGCTTCGTACTACGAGAAGGTGGACGGCCTCGCGCGGTGGTTTGGAATGAACGTGGCGGCGGCGTTCTTCGCTTCCCTCGAGCGGTGCTCGTGCGTCAATCTCACGACCTTCGACACCGACGACGACGGTGAGGAGGAGGCCAAGGATCGGCCTCTGATGCTCACCTCCTTCTCGTCCATGAACTCCACCGCCTCTTCCTCTTTATTCTCGTCTAATCACGACGGGAATGCGGACAATTCTCCCGCCGGTGTTGAGAATCTGCCTGTCTGATCTCGATCTCGATTGTTCGTCTCTCAATGGTTGGAAAAATTTTACTTCTTTAATTCTCTGTTTTCTTTTTCCCCTTCGTGTTTTTGTATGATCGTGTTCGTTGTTGATTATTTCGTAGTTTTAATTGAAATCGAATTCCTCATTCAGCTAATTGTTGTGTTAACAAAGCAAAATGTTTTTATTTTTTCCCTATTGTGGATGTGTTTTTTGGTATGATGGCATTTACCCCCCAGATTTGTGATTCTTATTAAGGTTTGTAAAACTTAAAAATGCAAATAATGTATATGACATGACGGGTTCCTGAATATGTTTGGTGGTTCTATTTACAGTGGAGGTTAGGCTTATTGATGTATGGCTGTGTTGTGTCTGTATATGATGCATTATGGAGGAAATGAGAAGGATATATAGTGCTTTAAACAGTAGGGTTTTTAACACAGTTGTTGTGTTTTCGATTGTCTTGAATTTGGGAAAATACGTACATTCTAGTTGCTAGTTGGGGGTTCCAAGATATAAAAGAATTCACTCGGTCTAAAAAATATTAGTCTAGCGGCTACCATATTAGAAATTCTTCTGTAAAGTTTACTTATGTAGATGTGTTTGGTTGCTGATAGGATGATAATCAGCATGTTATATGAAGATAACTTAAGTTTACTTCAGGGAGATTATTCATAGTGGTGTTTAAAATATTAAAACTTCGTTTGGGGGTTAAATTCTGAAATATTATTCACTTTGTTTTTATTTTTTTCCCTTAAAAATTGAAATGTGACCACAAAGTTAAGTCATGTTATTTTCTATGCTGGACCACATGTGAAAATTAAGAATCATATCTGATCTCATGTCTGGGATAACATTCAACCCCACTTCTCTAGGTTCTTCAGTGTTAATTTGTCTTGCCGGGTATTGTAGTTTATTGGGTCTGTCCTTTGAGAATATGTGTATAGAAACTATCCAGTGACTCTTTTTTCAATTTCTATCTTGTTCATCCTAATATGGTTAGCACAGCACAATCGTGGACCTGTATTGATGTCGTGTTAGTTGTACTGAGCTATTAATTCTTTCACTATTGAACACACACTCTAAACCCCTAAACACCCCCTTACCCCCAAAACAAGAAAACACTAAATTGTGAGCTTGGCCCTTGGCAATCTTCTACTTGTAACAGGGATAAACATTGGAAGAACGTAACCTTATTCTGTTCTCTCCCCACGATTGAAATGACTCCTAAACTGTAACAACAATCAATGATTTGTTTAGATAAGCATGGTATAGGCTATTTGCAGGTATCTAAAACTTAGAATGCTTCTAGACCATATTGCATCTTTTCTTCACAAACTTCCATTGATCCTTACTTTATTCGGTTGAGGTTGTTGCAAAATGTATCGAAGCTATCATGCGTAGGGATCTATGATTTTCTGAGCAATATTTTCTTATGAATTTGCTATTTTATGAACTAGTTTGGGACATAACATTCTGAAGTCCACCTTTTGTTTATTTTTCAGCTTATAGTTTCTGGCAGCTGAAGTCTAGAATGCGGGCATGTGAGGACAGGCACGTGAGTGTCAACTTCATTTTATTTTCTTTTTCTCTTTGTCTTTTGATGTTCAATTTCTATACTATAGTACTAGAGATACATGTGATCCGCATGGTTGTAAGAGGTTGATTGTGCTATGTACTTCGGAGATACTGTTGTACCATAACTCATACTTCGAAAACTATTTGCTGAGCATGATCGAATGAAGCAAATTATGCTTTGCTGATGCTTAATCCCTTTTAGGCCGAAAGGAAAAGGATGTTTTTCTTTCTTCCTTTTGTATGCTCACTTTTTTTGTTTCTTTCAATAGTGTAATATGTTTCCCTACTGTTACCTGTTTAAATTTCAAATCAGTAAAACACAATATGCAAACAAATCTCCTTTTGGATTATTATTGTTGAACTTATATGAAGCTTAAACTGTTGAATTCTCTTGGAGGTGTCAATTTTCAGCTGGTATGAACTTCTGTAGAGCTTGGGCACAAATAAGCTCAAAAAAGTGCTGTCCTTGGATTGGGCTGTATATTTTGCACTGGCCCGACGGGCTTGAGCCCGACATTTTAATACCTAAAATAAATTCTCTTGTGCCTTAACGGCCCTAGGTCCCCCGAGGGCCCACAATATCCTAAAACTGCTAATGTAAAATGTACCTCTGGAGAAAGTTGAAAAACGCGTATCATCAATGTCCCTGAACGGTCTCTGGGGCCCCATAAAATAACATTTCAAAGGCAACTGGGGAGCAGCCAGTTAAAATTTTAATCACACGCCCACAAATGTGTATTTGTGCCAATCAAATTAACACACTAAAATTCAAATCAAGTTCACGCACCAACACAAAATCACAAATATGTATAAACTTGTATGATCTAACAGCTAAAAACTTTATTTATGCCTCCTAACTTGAAAGCTACTGTTCTTTTCCTATTAAAGCCTGGTAAAAGTGAACTAAGTCAGTTCCTTCTATTATTTTTCTTTTAAAATAAACAAAGAAACAAGCTTTTTATCGAGATCGCCATAGTGAATCTGTGTGGACTGGAAATGGAGATTCGTGAAAGATGGAAATATCAACAGAAAAGGAAGAATCAAATTTACAGTACAAACAAAAAGAAAGTGGCTAAATTCTGTACATAACTAAAACCATCTATCTACATACAGTCACCCAAAAATGATACAAAATTTTCATCAAAATCCTCTAGATTTTTTGTCATAGAATCTCCGGAGCCTGAAAATAGCTTTGATAAGGTAGCTTGGAGACAATACAAAGAAAACAAAAGAAGAAGAAGAAAAAAAAAAAAAAATCAACTGCCCGGCAGATCTCCATCCACAGCTTTAACCAACAGGCCACGAGACAAATTTCGATTCGGAATAGGGGCCATGCAGTCAACTTAACACTTTTCTTTCATCTAAAATTACCACAAGTTGTATATATATTCATTCAAAGGGGGCAACTGTCCCTGCCACCCCCCTTCATAAAAATGGCAGACAAAATAACTCAATTATTCAAGACAAATTGAGAAGTTCATTCCCCACAACCCTTTTCCTAAATCAATTTTCCACCTCAATTTCACGTATGGAAGAGAATAACCGATGTCCCACGAGCCTCCTCAGAATTCTTTTTCCGAACACAAGATTTGAATAAAATCAAAGATTTTACATACACAATTGTAAACCGGGCAATAACCAGATTAGAATGCTATATTAATAAGGCAAACCTCAACATTCTTGCTCGTTCGGCCCCTCGCTTAGCTGTGTGTCCTTTGCTCATCCGAATAAAATTCAAATCAACTTGAAGAAATTCGGCGGGACCCATTTTCTTCACAGCTCCTCTAAGCTAACAATTTAATGAATGGAAGGGGGGGTCCAACAGTCCTTCATGAGATCCCAAATTCGGTACACTGCCAAAACTACCTTTTTTCATGTGCCAGCCTATCGTGCAATGAAATCTTGAAATCGACCCATGAATCACCACGAATATCCAATTTCAAGAAATGATTTTTTTTTCCTTTTTTTTCTTCCCTTGACCCGCCTCATCCTAAATGGGCGCGGGTAACCCATAGTTTTGGAACGACTTGATTCGCCCATCCCATCCAGCTGTCACGATCACTAAGCCCCAAGCATGAGAATTGGACGAGCTCTCACATGAAGTTTTGAAGAATTTATACTGTGATCTTCCCAAGGAAGATGATTTTGCCGATTTCGGGCTTGAAACGTACACGAGCTTCTCTTCGGGCCAGGTGGCAGTCCCTTTCGACCCGGCATCGAGTAGGAATTCTTGGGTCAAAGAGAAACAAGTGGAAGATGAGAATGGCAGCGAGTTTATCGTCTCATGGAGTTTGCTCGAATTCAAGCCGCACCATGGCAGAGCAATCGAGGCTTCAGTAGAGAAGCACTCGAAGGAATTAATCACTTTCGGTGAGTTGGACGATTGATCTTCGTAGTTCCATATGTAGATGCTCGAGTCCTCAGATGCTGAGATAACGTGCTTCCCGTCTGAGGTGAACGAGGCCGAGATTTGGTTGCCTGCCTTTCGAAAGCCTGCCGAAAGAGAACTTTTTCTGTTTTACTAAATTGAGTAAAAATTGCGAAGTTAAAAAGAAAAGATAATGAAAATGGAACTTCCGGTTGGAAAGCATATATATACCTTTGTACTTTCCGATCACATTCAGTCCGTCTATAATTCTGACGTGCGCATCAGCACAAGTTACCAATACTTTGGTCGGGTCTTGTGGTAAAAACTGCATTCATATATAACAAGAGATTATGAGCAGTTATTACGGTGAAAAGAAAATTGTCCATCTATTAAAGTGAGATGAACATGTACCTGAAAGCCGGTTATTCTTTTGCACGGTGACTTCTTATTAATCAAGCACATCTGAGTCTCCAAATGGAAATGATTATCTGATACAACCGAAAAACGGGGGAGAGAAAAACAGCCATGTCAATGTGCACATAAATCGGGCAAAAAATGAACAGACAGCGTTTTTAGTGCTTAAACGGGACAGATATTTACACGTTAAATTTACAGTAGGCATCCAAATGATCCAAGATTCAAATAAAACACAAGCATAAAACAGAGGCCACTCAAAAAAAAAAAAATCATGGAAATAAATAAATAGAAAATCGTACCTGATGCGCTAAAGAAGTAACATGTGCCACCAATTGAACCAAAAACCCCACTCTGCATAACAAGCAAATGAAGAAACAATTAATCCACCTCAAAAACGCATTAAAAAGTCGAATCAAATTGACTGATATCTAAAGTTTTTGAGTATCAACACACCTGCCCATCAGGTCTATAAGAAACAGCTGTGATTATATCCCTTGTTTCTGCCCAGTCCACAACTTGACAGCCATTGATGGTCCATATACGAACCTTCCCATCAATTGAACCACTTATGAAGTAATCATCATTTGCAGGGTTAAACTGAACGCAGGTCACTGCATAAAGATTAGCACGTGTGTGAAGCTAAATTGGTAAAATCAAAACCAAATTAGTGTGCAAATTCTTATCTCATCCCAAAAACAAATTACAGAACTAATTACCATAGTCGGTGTGTGAGAAGACCTTCAGGCACCGATCAAATCCAACTCTCCACAAACGAACAGTGTTATCAACCGATGAAGAAAGCAGACACTACCCAACAGAACAAACACAGAATGAGATTTAACTTAAATAACAAATCACACACAAAACGGTGGAAAAGAAAAGACATATAAAATGAAATTATCACAAACATACATTATCCTTCGACCACGAAAGATCCAATATATCGCCATTGTGCCCCTCAAAGACATGCAGCGGCTCCTCTAAAATCCGAAAAACCTTTGGAGGGAAAATAATACATGCCGAATCCGGATTTTTTCTCAAACCCTTAAATCTACTACCTTTATCTTTCTCCACCATAAGAGGCCCCAATTCTGAAAGGCTGTTGACCGAAAAATACACACACGAGGGATCATCATCGGGAACATCAACTGCATCATTTCTCTCATTCTCGATGACTTTCCACACCTTAACAACCATATCCTCACCGGCGCTAGCTAAATAGCGTCCATCCAGACTAAATTTCATCGTCAGTATTGACCCCTTGTGGGCCTGGATATCTTGGCCCGTGAAGAGGCCCGAAAGCTCCTTCAGCTTTCTACTGCAATGCCGGACCCTCACACGGCTGATCTTCCTCCCCTGCCCACGGCTAATAATATTTTTGTCCTTAACGTTACTCTTCATCATACAAGTCATGGCTTTCCATTTCCTTAGCCACTTGTTTTTCAATTTATCCATTGTTCGAGGCGTGTAACAGCTGGCTTCAATTTCACCCTCGGTGAGATTTTGATTAGACGAGGGGCAAAATTGAGCAACATTCTCGCGGGCCAAAAGGTCAGAATCATCGGTGTTCCAGCTCGATGCAGACGAGCGTCTGGATGAGAACTCGTATTCAAAACTCGAGGTTCTTAGCACAGTTCCATTTTTCTCCATAATTCTATCGACATCTCCAATAAAAGTACCATGATGATTTTCATCAATGTATGCAGGATTTTCTCCTTCTAGCCCATCTGGGCCAAAACCCATCAATCGAATGAATTTCTTTCTTCTCTCCCCAACACTTTGGGGAACATTGATCCACACATTGTAATCCCAGTTTTTCAAAGGATGGAAATTTGAGACCTGATCGGGTTCTTGAGTGATGTGCTCGAGGGCATCAAAGAAATGGCTTTCTTGGTCGTCCTCCTTGAAGCTATTCATGATTTCTTCAGTTCAAGCCATGAATGAGAAAAACAGAGGGCACTGTGCAAAAGACCCAACTCTTTAGAACCCAGGCAATGTGCTCAATCCCCTCCAATATAAAACCTTTAAACAACAGAGAGAACTGAGTTAATAGAATTCTTATTTAAAAAAACAGATATAACTGACTAAACAATACACGAGCACCACTGCAAAGGTTTTAGCAAAACTTTGAATAAAAATATAATATAACAGTTCCAGCAACTAGCAAGAGTAAAAGCATAAACTACTTCTGAAAAAAACTTTAAAAAACTAATTTTATAACTAATAGATCCAACATGGATCCCAATTTGCACCCAGTGAACCTGGTCTCCCATATGAATGGTTTCCCACGATTTTACGTTTTACTTGATTAAAAAAAAAAAGTAAATCAATAAAAATTTCTTCACTCCCTCCATGCACCTCACCTTGGAAACACAACAATGACAACACAGATTTCCATTCAAAAAAATAAAAAAAAATAAAAAAAAACCCACAAAACCCGGACACATTTTGCCCTAAAATTGAAACCCATAACCAAGATAACGACTTTATGCACTGTAAACATCAAATTATCTCGACTCAAGGTGCAGACAAAGGAAAAATAAAAAAACAAACAAAACGATATGAAACAGAAACAAAAGCACACACACGCACACACAAGAGAGCGAAATTGACACCATTTTCAATGAATCAAAATCAGAAAATTCTGGATAATCAAGCTATTTGCTCACATGATTTTGGTATCAGTTTAACGAGATCGGATTAAATCGAAAGAGATCGAGAAAGTTCCTCTCTCTAGGAAAAGGTAGCAAAGAAGAAGGGGACTGAGACGCATTTACAAGAAAATGGGTGAAAAAGGGGGGGAGAAAAACTATGGTTACAGGAAGTTATGGGGCTCAACTGTAATAAAGCAAAAGATGAAAAAGCTAAAATTGGGAAAGGGGAAAAAAAGCATAAATTCCTCGATATCCGTGAACGGGTGGCCCGAGAGATGAGATTTCGAGCTCCATTTATGTGTGTGTGATCAGTGTGTGTGTACGAAAACAGTACTCTGTGTGTGTAATTATGCCCCAAATTAACTCACCCCAATTTTCCACTCTATATCAGGAAATGCAACAGAGCTGTTTTTTTCCCTCTCGTGTTGCAAAAAGACGAATTTTCAATTCATATGCACATTATTTTCTATTAAATGAGTCCAAAGGTTTTGATAATTTCAATTCATATAAATTTTTATATGAATGTAAAGGCTAATATGGTACTAGTATATTTTTTTTATTTTTTGGTATTTTTTATTTTGTTTGACTTAAGAGTAATATGTGTAATATGGTATAATTAATGCTGGTGTAAGTAGCTTTGATTGATGATATATATTGTGTCATTTGTGTGGTTTTAATGTTGGGTCCTCCCATATGCGTAATAGTAGGTGTTTCATAAATGTTGTTATCTTAGTTGTTTAATAGGTAGATAATCACATTTATTATAAAATATTTATATTTTTAATATGAAATGTTTTTGGTATATATGATCGATGAGACGATTTGTAAAGTCAATAATTATTTCAAAATGGTGTAATAACAATAAGTTTAAAATTAATACAATTAGAATAAGTGTCTATATATCAATTTAAAAATCACTTCACAAGAAAGTCATATGAGAAGGAGACTTTGTAGTGATTCTATCCTCAATACAAATATAAATTAAATACATCTACCTAATGACATACATTATTCTTACGTAAAAGGTAAACAATATTTATAAAAATCTATATTTATTATATAAGGTGTACCATTTACCAAATTTAGTAAGTTGAAAAGTCAATGCAATAAATGCATTACTATTTTGAGTAACATAATATAATATCATATCTATACTTATATAAAAGAAGATTCTATTTACTACATTTACTATCTAGAAAAGTCAACTGCATTAAATGTCATTAATATTTTGGTATTATAATATTTTATTTATTTAATTGATTTATTTATTTATTTTATTTTAAAAAGGTAAGTATAATAAAAATATTTTAATAATAAAAAAATCAAATACCAAATAAAAATGTACATTTTGACTTATTTGATTATATTTGGTATTTGATTATACTAAATATATTCCTATTTAGTATATACATTAAATACTTATTAAAATATTTATTTGTTTTATTTGTCAAAGTTAAGTATAGATTTGCTTATATTATCAAATCATAAAAAAATAATAAATCCATATTGTTAAAAAAAAAATCATATAATTTTATAACAATTCTACTACACTATTTAACAATATTCCTTTTTTATTATATAATAAAATAATGATTAAATATTATATGGTGAACAACAATAAGTAAAACTGTTACTTTCTCTTATATCAAGGGATAAATTTACATGCTAAAATTAAATTTTTATTAGTATAAATATTTTAGTGAGATAATATATTAATTATTTTACAAGCTAACTCTATGCTCATATTTAATGTTTAAAAAGATGTAGAAAAAAACTTATAATAACTCTATTGTTTTTAGACTTAAACGTTGATTAAAAAAAGTAAAAATTCCTAATTTTTTAGACTTAAACGTTGATTAACACCATAGATTGAGAGTCTATATTTAGTAAAATTCCTAATTGTAATAAAAAAATTAATTTTTTGCTATATTTTAGAATATTTTTAAATTCATTATAAAAAAAAGAAAAAAAAAACTACAATGATAAAAGCAAGTCAGCTATATATCGATTTGTTGTACTCCTCAAATCACATTCACAATTTGGCTACAAGGAAAGGAAACTCGTTGATTAAAATATTATTTTGTCAGTAGTCTTAATGTATAAGAGACTTTAAGACTCCACTTGAATATTATAAAACTTTTATTGAACATTGTACAATTTTCTTGCGTATTATAAACTTTTATTGAATATTGCATCTTATAATATAATATTCTCCAAATAAATATATCTCGTGCTTCGCACGGGTCACGTACTATATATATGCCGTATATTTTTCTTTATTCATGAATATAATTATAAACCTGGATAAATAGCCTTAAAATTGTGCACCCCTGCATCGCACGGGCTCTGTACTAGTATTATATCATCATATAAATGTTATAATTTATATTATATTATATTTTGAAATATGATATTTAGGTATGAAAATATGTATCGACTAATAACTATATTAGACAGACAGTAGAACAAGAGACAGAATTTTTGTAAATAGCCGGTGAATACTAAATTTATCGAGGAAACAAAATAAAATTATTTATGAATAAATAAAAAAAGGGGCCCTAAAATTGTTTCATTTCTTATGTCTATAGTTTTTATTTGTGTATTTATAAATAAGGCAAACTTTGGTGGGAGTGTTGTGGTCATGGGGAAAGTGATGGATGAGAAATTAGCCATTTCTAAGTCAAAGCGCCATAATTTTGACCCAAGTCTTACTTTATAAATATCATATTTTAAAATTTTGAATATAACTCGCGGCCTAAATTAACACAGGTAGGCCTTTTTCAATTATAAGAATTGACAAATATTTTCCAAATTTGATTTTCAATAATATACCTCGGTGTGCACCTTTCTTGACCTTAATTGGGTGTTTCATGATCAAGCATGACATTTATATTTTATACAAAAAAAAAAAATCACTTCATAATATAAGTATATCTTTTATTAAAAGAGTATGAAAAGTTGACCTACGATGGATTATTTGTCTCGTGACACAATACTCTGTGTATTTGATAATTGCTAAAATTTGTTGACTTCAACTTTATTTAACTAATTGATAAGCTGATCATAATTACTACTAGTAAATAATTGATTCTTGGTATGATATTCATAAGTGGGGAAGATATATATATATATATGCCGAGATCAAAAGGGTTTGCTTTTCTTGGTCCAAATTGAATGCTTCCCAAAAACTATAAGCCCTTAATTTTATGAGTTATTAATAAGAGTGACATTTGGGTAACTGACTAAAATGTACGAGTAAGAGTTATTGTTTTAATTTTGTAATTTAATATGTGAATCATTGAACTGAATGCATGATACATATTTATGATCAGTTTTGCTATGGAGCCAACAGTTGGCCCATAATGGAGTCAACCTTCTATATATATCAAATAAATTTACCATATTCATAAAATTATATTAGTGTTATTTAGGTAATCAAAGAATATGGTAGGTTTATTTGATGTATATAGAAGATTGGCTCCACTATGGAGCCAACTGTTGGCTCCATAGCAAAACCGATTTATGATAACGTCATATCGTGCATCGAACAAAATAAAATATGACCGTGGCTTGCTAAATTGCAATATTATATTGTATTTCATAATATTGAATATTTTTCTTAATGACGACTCGAAATATGTATTACATAGCTTGAATTGAAAAATAGTAAAGTTCATTTTCCAAACTAAAAGAAATAAAATGCAATAGAATTTCGGACATTTAAAAAATAGGAAATTTTACTATTCATAATACGTGTAAGGTATCTATATATACATAATAAGAATTACCATTTAACAAAAATAGTAGCAAAAAAATAGGAAAGAATTTAATGCAACTTATAAATAGTAACTTTTATTATTTTTTTATTTTTATCTTTAAAAAATCATACAACATTAAATGTTACATTAAATTTTAGGCTTTAATTTGTTTATTATTTAAAAATTTAAGCTAAGATCTATTAAGTGTGTATTTTTCATTTTTATTATTTTTCTTAAAAAACAACGAAAAACATTAAAATCTCAGTCTCTATATTTATAAAATCTCAATTCAAAAGGTAATAAAAATTTTAGAATATCGGTTTTTGTATTTATTCATTTCAAAAAGAAATGTTGAATGCTATTCTTTAAATATCATTTTCCACTAATAATCACAATTTTTTTCATTTGGAACGTGTGATAGTATATTGTTTTTTCTCAATACTTTGTAGTGTTTAAAATATCACTTTGTAATATTTATCAATACTTTGTTTATTAATCTATTGTTTTTTCTATACTCGGTTTCAAAAGGTAAAATAATTTTCAAATTCTCAGTCTCAATAGTTGTGCATTTAAAATAAAAAAATTAATGATAATATATTATTTGTTAATAGTACACAATTTTGAAAACTCCATTATAAATTGTATGTTGATCTCCAAATTATTTTATAAATACAATCGACTTTGTTAAATCTCCACAAAAATATGGTAAAACAAAATGAGACGATCAGCTTTGTATGAAAATAAAATAAAATAAATAAATCAATATGAAGTTCACAGAAAATTAACATAATGAATAATTTGTATAGTACACGGATCTAAGAAATAATACTCACGTGGATTCTAAAATTCAAACTTATAGTTATCATCATCTTCTGGAAATTGAATAATATATTATAGAGAAGATTATTTTAAATAATTTTAGACATGCTTTATTTATAAAATAGTTTAGAAAAATTTTAGGTGAAATCACATCTTTCAATAATAATATATAAAATTTTAGATACTTTACATATGTTATATTATATAATATTTTAGGTGTTTTTAATATTTTAAACATATATTTTTTATGTTATTTTATACAAGGTAATTTAATATTGTTTACAACTGATATACGATAAATTAGGTCACATATTAACTCTACATCTTAATTACAATTATAAGTTAATATTGTTTACCCTCATATTGTTTACCCTTGCATCGCACGGGCTACATACTAGTTCCAAATAAAAGACACAATAAAACTTTTCGGGATAAAGGTCAGACCTTTAAGGGAAAATAAGATCAAAGGGATTAGGTTTTATGGTTAACAGAGGCAAAAAGTAATTAGTTTTCACTTTGGTTTATGCAGCAAAAAAATAGGTTGGGGCATTAATTACCATCTACCAGAGTCTGATAAAGCATTTGGTTCATAATTATTTTATATTTATACCAATTAAAATCACACATGGCCTAATAAAAATGAGCCAATATATAATCTGACTCAAATTAACTAGTGTGTACCCCGTGCGATGCACGAAAACAATATTAAATTAACAATATTATAAATAGACCTCGAGTTTGAGTCACTCAATGGCGGAAGTGGAAAC